GAGGCCTTCAGTCGCCCCCCCCCTTCATAATTCAAAGTTTCCGTCAGAAACATGGAAAATCAGCTAAATGCATTTTTGAGTTCCTTGAAGTGTGCAGATTAAGCATCAATACGACTTTCAGATTTTTTTTCTAAAAACGTGGATTAGATTGTAGAGGATGTAAAACTGTATATACTCCGAAATGTTTTCGGTAAATGGACTCATTTTGACGGAGGAATGGCTTTCACAAGTTGTATGCCTCCATAGGCCATCTGTGAATATAGGATTTCAAAATGTTTTTTTAAACAAAGCTTTCTATGCAATATTATAGTAGTTCGGTAGAGCGAACAGAGTTCTGAACCCCCTCCGAGAATAGAACGCAACCCTATAATAGAAGGCCACCCCCAAATGTCTGATTCGCTAGACATAATAGAACGCCATGGCAATTAAATTTTAGATATACCCAGGTCAAACACGCACTACCGCAAACGACCATATACCTGTAATTTTCGGCGAAGAATGGTGCCTATGTACGGTTAATGCTTACAGCAATCGTAAACGATGGTTTACGGTGTATTACGACCATCGGAAAGTAGCGTAAGACACCGTATACTTTTACAGTAAAACATTTACTACACGTTCATCGTTTTCTATCGTTATTTGACGTAAACGGCCGTTATCGTCGTCGATCCATTCTTACTTACCTTATTGGTGAATTCATGATTTCAACTTTAGGAGAATTCAGTTGTCAACAGTTGTTTTTCTCTGTCTGATAGAGAAGAGTCTAACATAAATTATCCGAATGCTCGCTTGTGATTCACACTTCATTGATCAGGCTAAGAAAGATGTGCGAACAAAATGGATCATTATTCAGAAAACGTCATCAAAGCCAATCAGAGGAGTAGGGATGCAACTCTGAGGATAGTTTTTATTAATTATTAGCTGATTATCGACTCTTAATATTGCCTATAGAACTTGACCAAAACTACTTTAGCGCGACAAAATTAGGAATGAACTTGACTTTAATTAATTCGTTATTATTTTAACAACCTTTAAAGGTGTTTCTAAGGCCTTTCTGAGGCCTTTCTCGTAATGTCTTTTGCCAGCGTTTTTGTTATTCCAAAAGTCTTCATCTCATCGGATGACCTATGCTTAACCCATCAGGTTTACTTCTACGCTCCTTTGAAAGGAGTTAGCTAGTCACTCTACAAATAGAAAATGATATCTCCGCTCAGCAAAATCCAAAATGTACTCATTTTTTCGGGTAGTCGACGGACTGAAACTTGATCCCACACTCACTTTCAGCCACCAGAAGACGCCAAAGCTGATTCCAATGAGTTAATTCTGCATATTAATTAGTGCAAACATAGGGAAAAGCCATTTCAACAAAAAACCCTTTTGACGAATTTTTCGGAAGGAACCGTCCACTTTAAGACCATTCAACACAAAAAAGCTCTTCGCTAAGAAAAACGCATTATGTAAGATGCAACGTAAAGAAAACTGCATTTTAAAGATGTTTACAAGTGAAAACGACTTTTCAAGGCGTTACTAAGGCCTTCCGGAAGCCTTTCTCGAAATGACGTTAGCCAGCGTTTTCGATACTCCAAAAGTCTTCATCTAATCGGATAATCTATGCTTAGGCCTTCAGCTAAACTTCCACGGTCAATTTGGTGAAGTTAACTGGACACGCTACAATTCGAAAAATGATATTCCCACATGGGAAGATCACAAAAGCAATCATTTCACGGTTAGGAGTATGGGCGTGGGTGTCTATAGACGATTTTCATACCCACACCATTTATATTCAACGTTGACAAAGAAAATCAATGAAATATCAAGCATAATTTGTATAAAAAGAGAAATCTATTACTGACTGTCGGAGAATACTTCTGACCATTTTCTGATTAAGTATCCTTTCGAATATGTTTCTTCTAGTTTATTTTTAAATAGTTGAAATTGAAAAGTATAGCGTTGCATATCGGGATGATCATCGAACAATCGTTTTCTAGCCGTGCTAATTGTTAATTCGTAATGATCGATGGCAAGTTGAATTTCTCCTAGATATGCATAAACTGCTGCCAGACAATAGGAGATTTCGGGTATTAGAGGATTGCCATCTTTTTGTTCCCGAACTAGATTAAGTGATTCTTCGAACATCTTCAAGCTCATTATTCAATTTTGTTGACGATAGTAGGATTTCGCCGTATTGAACAAGATATTAATCATGATTTCATCGAGTTGTTCTTTAGTTTCCAAATTTGAAGATTGATGCTCTGAATAAATAATATTCGTTTCACTGAAATATTTGAATACTGTTGAAAAATTGTTCTGTCTCGCACAAATGGCAATTAAATTATTGATTAACTGAAGACGTTCAAGAATATCTGTTGATGAAGTTTGTTGAAATTTTTCATTGAATTGTCGAATGAGATCATCGTGATTCGTCATTTGATCAAGCGACATTTTTTCGAGTATGAAGGATCTTTCAGATTCTTTATTTTTCAATTTATCCAATCGTGCTAAATATTTTTCTACTTCAAAAGTGCGATTACGTGTAGCCCATATCTTCGGTTGTTTGCTAGCTTTTTCCGCATATTCCACAGCTTTGAGTATCTCCTTCTTTTTCGTAGATCAACGAAAAACAATTATAGATAGTAGCTGCCATCGTCTGATGCTCGGCGGGACAAGCTAAAAGATTATTCAGTGCTTTTCCCATCATTTTTAATGCTTTTCCCATGTTGCCTAAATTGTATTGCAGAAGCCCAAGGCTGTATTGAAAAGTCGAGATCAACGAAAGATTTTTTTTGGCTTGTGAACGTAACACTATTCTTAGAGCTTTTTCTGCATGATATAAAGCTTCTGATAAAGTTTCTAATTCTAAATGAGCAATGGCGATCTGATGGTGCGATGTGGCTAACGATTCGTGCTCTTCGTGAAATATTTGACTATCGATTTCTAAGGCTTTCGCGTACATTTCTAATGCTTTTGTAAAAAAAATTTTGTCTCCATAGATTGCATCGATATTATTATAGACAGCAGCTAGATCGGTGTGGATCGCCACGGTGCCTTTGAGACGTATTTCTAATGCATGCGTCAAATACCTTAAAGCATCATCATAAGCACCTAAATGAGAATCGATTTCACTAATATTATTAATGGCCGTGGCTAACTCGATGGTGTGTGTGTGTGTGAGGGTGTGGGTATGGGTGTCGATATGTTGTTACCCACACCCACACCCTTGTAGAATATACGGGATTTTAAAATTTTTCGTAATCCGATATTCAGCGACGTCTATCGTTGAACATAAAATATCATGTTATTGCGTAAGAATCCTCCCAGCAATTAAAATACCGAATATAAAAATCAAAAGTTGCAGTTTCAAAACGTTTTAATCAATATATTTCATGAATCGACTCATAATCGGTAAACACTGAAGTAGTATTGTGCAAGTTTACTTGCGCAATTACATTGACGTTTCACTTATAAAAACAAAAGCCACGAGCTCCGATAACAAGGTTAAAATACGATACCAACATCGGATATTATGGCAGAAAGCAATAGTGAAATAACGCTCACCGAACGATTGAATCTCATTCGTTCAATTCTACGATCAGAGGAGCTTTTACAAATTCAATCATCAGGAGATTATGATCAAGTTCGAATCAAACTCGATCATGATATTCAAATAACCTTTTTCTTTGATTCATTGAGTATGTTTAACAAACCATTGATAATAGAGACTGTACACGATTTACAACTAACAAAATCATCAAGTAAATGTCTTTTAACCAATGAACAATGGATAAAGATTCGACAATATTTCGATGAACTCATTCAACAATCGGATAAAACAGCATCAATTCAATCAATTGTTCAATCAATTCAAGATCATCTTTTACAAATATTAGCGTCCAATAAAACAACGAAGCAAAAAGGTAAAAAACCACCAAAAACAACTATATCCGACAAAGATTCATCATCGACAACGAATAGATTTCGAGGTGGTGAATTGATATATAATCGAATATTACACGACAAAACAATCGACCGATCGAAAGTTATCATTGGTTATGAAGATCGTTTTACAGGAATCCATGAAATTGCATTTAATGAATTCAAAAAAGTTCATGACCACGAGGTAAAACACGTCTTTGAATATTCTCATATTAATAATTTGCATATCAAAATCGTATCTAGTACGGAGTTCCAATGCATCGTCTTCGACATTTTAAAATCAACGGACAAGTTGTTTGGGATAGAACAAACAAAATCGATATTTTAACTGGAAATAAAAATATAACCAATAGTCATAACTTAATAAAAGATGATCTACATCTAGCACAAGGATTGTTTTATTTCGATCAATCCACTCAGCAATGGATACAATATCCTCACGTTCCAATAACATCTGATGATCAAAAGAATCCATCAACAATTGAAACATGCCTTCCGAGCCGATGTCACTTTGTAACATGGAATATTCTCGTTGATTATCATCATTCACAATTGATTTATACATCACAACGTTATCAATCTATTCTTGATAACTTAAAATCACTTTTACCTGATGTCATTTGTTTACAAGAAGTGACAAAACCCTTTATTAATCTTTTGTTAAATCAAATCTGGTTACAAGAAAATCATTATTACATCGTGTTTATGGAGAAAGCATTGGATAGTGAACAAACCAAATCTTATGGACAATTATTATTGACAAAGAACTTTCGTCCTCGATCATTTTCGATTTGTCCACTCGATACAACAGAGAAAGCAGCAGACGTCACAAAACAAATAATTATCGCTCGATTCGGTTTAAATCCGAAAATCACAATTGATCTTGTTAATCTTCATTTGAATAGTAATGGATCTCGAAATGCTGAGCGAAGGCGTTGTCAAACCCTTGAACATCTTTTACAAAATCTCAAAACGAATAATTTTATGTTGATTGGAGATTTTAATTTTGGAGATTTTGATTTGAAAGAAAACGATTTACTGGGCAAATATCAAGAAGAAGTGCATGATCTTTGGAAACAGATTTATAACATTGATGAAGTACGATCATTTTATATTCATCGATAAACAAAATAAAATCATTTATCTTTATTTTTTTATTAAGAATCCGGGTTATACTTTCGATCCATCGCGTAATATTTGTGCTCGAATAATGTCGGATAGTCAAATCAATCGTCGATTTGATCGATATTTGCTTCATAAATTAGATAACGTTTATTATTCAATCGAAAATCTTCAGCTTGTTGGAACTGAAACAATTCCAATTGATGAATCAAATGAAAAACAAATTAATTTATCTGATCATTATGCGTTACAATTAATTATTGATTTTCAAACAAGAATAATTAATCATCGTTCGGCTCTTGTCATTTTACCATCAACAAATCACTGGCCTATGATTAAGTCCTTTTGTGATGGAGACGGCCCTTCGTTTGTTCAGTGGCCACCACATTTTAATCTACTTTGGCCATTTTACTATCTTAATCATTCCCTTGATGATCAACTCGATATTCTTTTACCTTTACGAATCTTACTTTCACAAATCAGTTCATTTCAAATTCAAGTCGATGATTTTGACACATTTGTGGAAAATCATGTTTCTTTTCTTAAACCAAATGAAAAATCGACTCAGTTGATGAAAGAATTGTTCGAAAAGACAAAACGTCTATTGCCAGCATGTGTAAAAAATCCTCAAAATGAATATAATCCACATTTGACCATTGAACAATATGAAAACGCCGAGCAGCTGAAGCAAGCGAGATCATCGTTAGTTTTAGACAAACCATTTGATTTTCCAGTTGAATATGTTTACATTTTACAACGATGTCTAAAAGATGATGCGCAACCATTTCATATTTTGTATCAAATACCACTTGGTCCTGTTCTACCAAAGTTAAATTCAATCGATTCAAAATTAAAAGAATTCTTTCAAACAATGAATCTCTATGAAAATGATGAATCGTATAATCAAAAACACGATAAATTCACAAAACTCTCGTCATGTTTTCAACAAATATTCAATCAGCAAAATTCGCATCATTTTCGCCATTCATTTGTTCCATATGGAAGTTTTCGTATCGTGAGTGAAAAAGATTTTATATAATGTTCAATGAAACGATTCTTGTCGATTATTTTGTTTAAGGGTATAAATGGGCACGATCTCGATACAGTTTTTGTATTGAATGAAGTAAAATCGAATGAAGATGAAACTGAACTTGATAAAACACTTATTAAAATGCAACACGATAAAAGCTCGTTGAACAATCACATTTTGAATTTACTGGAAACACAAATAAAAACGAATTTCGAGAATGAAATCGTTTATTGTCGAAAAGTTCAAGCATTGTTTTCAATTATTTCAATTTTATTTACCGATCAAACAAAAGTCGAAGTTTCTCTACAAATCAAATTAAATGAAAAGCAACCGCTGGAGTCTTCGAAAGAACCCACACTCGGGGTAAGATAAGCTTCAATAGATATAGCATTATTTCAATCTGAAGCTTGTCAGAACTTACTGAATTCTAATTCTAGGTACATGAAATCGAACATCTTCTTATTCATGCTCGTTCACCCCCGATCTTTCAGCATCTTCTAACATTCATTCGTAAATGGGCTCAGAATTTCGGTATCTACGGTCAAGTCTACGGTTATTTAGGTGGTTATTCTTGGGCTATATTATGTGCACACATCTGTCATTCATTCTTAACTCCCATCAAATCTCTTTACACCATCGAACAATTTTCCGTAGATCAACTCTTTTCATTAGTTCAATCATTTTTTTCAACATATTCAAAATTCAATTGGTCAACAGAAGCACTTACTCTTGTCCCAAGACTTTCAAAATCAATGAATAATTCGTCATCTATTCTTCAGCGTGGTTCAATGCGTATTCTATCACCTACTCCACCCCATAACAACTCAGCTCGTGCGACAATGGCTTCAAATCGCGATTTAATTGTTCAATCTTTTCAACGCATCGAAAATTTACTTGAAACAATAAATACAATAAGTTCAGAAGATAAATTCAATGCACTCAAACGAATCCTCGAATTAAAAGTCAATTTCCCAATTGAAAAAATTCAGACAATCATCGAATGTACATTATCAACTGACAATCCCAATGAACTTGATGAATGGATTGGATGGATGAAATCACGTTTAGCATATTTCATAAACGATTGTGAAACGAAATGTAATTTATTTGTTCAAAGAAACAATTCAATTGAATACCAATCGAGCAAGAATGAAGGTGTCTATTCAATTGGATTTGAAATTGACGAAGAAAGATTAAAAACACATCGATCTTTTTCTCATTGTTTGAGTCGATTTCTCGATCAATGCAATTCGTATTCGAATCGAAAAGAGTCAATGAAAATCTCACATAAGCTCCTATCAATACACGATTGGAAACTCGAACAAATGCTACGGAAACCGCAAAGATTGAAAAATTAAATCACTAATGTTATTGTTGTAAAATATTTAAAATAAATCATTCAATGTTAAACTCTAAATATCTTGAGGGTGTGGGTATGGGTTCTATTCTTCTCTTAAATAACTCCCACGCCCACACCCACACCCTCAAGATAGTTCAGAATATTAGAAATTAAAGTTTTTACTTTATTCTAATTGAAGCCATCTGATGAGACCCTTGAGCAAGGTCGAAACCGGTCATGGCAGCTTGTCTCACCCTCCTTTTGCATTTCGACATTGCCGCTGACACCCATAAAAGAAAAACAGTTGAGGAATTCTTTAAAATGTTGTGTTCTTCGGCAAATTTCAGTTCTCTCAACAATCTAGTCTCTCACAAAGTTAAATGTACATAATGCATGCTAAATATTTGTTTTGCATTACATTTCTTTGACTATACTGTGTATTATTAAAGCCAACAAAAATTATAATTACTGATATTCTATGGTGGGTTTTTTCCCACTATAGATGAATAATTATAAAAAAAAGAAACATTTCGATTTCAGGTGTTTCTTTTGAAAGAGTGTAATTAGGCAACGTTTCGTAATATAAAAGCAAGTAAAGATCTTGCATTATTATTCACATTCTTTTTATTATAAAATTTCAAAAGCATCCAATCTAACACAAACGGTGAGTATTTAAAAAAGATTTTTTTTTAACATTTCGTTTATCTCTTTCTGTGAATTAGTCTTCCTATCGTATATTAATTTTTTTTGCATGAGTTCAGTGATTCTTTTTCCTTTAAAATTATAAAAATTCGACAAAGTTTTACCAATAAATTTGATAGAAGTATGTAGTTTTGATAAACAAGCATATAGCCTAATATTAGATATTGAAATACCTCTCTAAAATGCTTATTTCTTAAAGAAGAGTCTATGAAATCAATATTAATCTTATTAGGCATGCACCAGTTCCAGTCCCCGACTGGGTCTGATGCGACTTATTAGGAATTTGACAGGGGTATATCCAATCGTATTAATTTGTTCTTTGGAAGCACTTGATACCCAGTCCGACTGTACTGGTGCATCCCTAAATCTTATACTTGATTAGATTCTGTAGAAAATCTTTCCTACTTAGTTTTTCTTCATGTTTCTGTTAGGCTCTAATATGTATAGAACGAAAGAGACAAGCAGTGTCACTGATGTTATGTGACAGAACGATGAAAAAGATGACCTTCATGGGAATCGAACCCATACCGACTGAAAATGACGAGTACCGTTCA